ATTCCTGAAGTATGTCAGTGTGCTTCCAAATAATTGGACTTGGAAAAATTAAACCAAATTAAATAAGTTTTTGCTGCTTCAAAACCCTTTCCCATGAAAATCACTTTCAAACATTTTCACAGCATATGTGTCCAAACAAATCAGATTATCTAACATAGCATTCTAGTTTGAAGAGCAACTGGTGACTTGCAAACAGCTTGTTGCATATGGAACCTTAATACTGGCATATCTTAAAGTACTTTTTTCTAACATTCCACTGAGCCCACCAAATCAATCGTAAATTACAAAATTTCAGAACACAGGCATGTAGCAGGTGAATTTTGTGAAGATAAAACTGCAGTATTTGCAGCCCATTTGATAAAACCAAGAAGTACTTCTGATTTGAAAGTACCAATCAGAAATGGACAAGAATTCAAAGTTCTAGAGGGGATTTTTTTTGTCACAGACATACACAGACACACAAAACAAACCCAAAGTAATTCAGTTTCATCCGGTTTAACCTCAACCACGAGACACCGCTGTCTGTTTTCTTTCTCAAAAGACTCACGTCACTGTGCACTGAAAAAAAGGGAACTTCCACAGTTTGTGGTGAGGATACATGATAAACAGATCTGTTCACACCAACTAGCAGGGCTGCCTGCGTCAATAAAAGGCAGTAGCAGAGGCAGTGAACTGACATTTGGTGCTTGGAGGATTATCGTTGCAAGTCGCTTCGTGTTAAAGTTGAGTAAAATGCCAGGATTTTTTTTTCCCCACAACAACATGACTGAATTAAATGGAAGAGAAGACTGTAAGCTTGCAGAAGGCAAAATCCATAAAAAGAAGCAAAAGGCTTTGTAAGTATATACATCTTAGTATAAATTCTAATGTATTAGAAGTGAAAATAACACTAGAATCTTGGAGATTAAGAATTAGCACCATGTTTTGGGCTAAATGACTGCAAAGCCTGCTCAAAGCCCAGGACTACAGCAACATTAAAAATGGCCTGAGCTGATGTATACCAATGAACTGATTCCCTTAGGTAATCAGGAGTAGATTTTGGATACCCTGGGAGCCTCTTAGTCTTTTGAAAAATGTTACTTGGATATGTAACTTCCCAGACTTTAGTCATAGGATGGAGCTGTCAGCCTCTGTTTAGAAGTTTTAAGAGATTTCAGTAGAATTGAAATGCAACTGCAATTTTAATGGATTACAAAAATGTCTTTTCATTGGTTTCAGTGGTTCCGATCTCAAAAATTATTTGAAGTGCATGGTACCACATATTGAATCTGGGATCAAGACTTCTAACTCCAGAAATGTCATGTAAGTACTGAGATATATTTTGTTATAACTTAATGTAAGTATAGCTAGATTACTATATAGTAAACTATTTTATTAATTTCTAAACTACTTCTGGAACAACAAATATTATAATAATGCCTAGAATTTCCAAAATACAAAAAGTGAACATCAGGAAGTAGAAACTATTCATGGAGTTAAAAGTTTTCTTTTAGTGACATCTATATATTTGCATTAAACAGTGAGTGAGAAGACACCTCAGTTAAATCTATTTTTTTCAGAGGAACATTGTATCCATTCTCTAAAGATTTAGAAGAAATGATGCTTCACACTTAAATGAAGAGCAGGGGTATTACAATTCTTATTTCAGGAATGTGAAAATAGAAGTACAGATACAAAATGATTCGGTCATAGTTACAGTAAAAGCTCATCTGTCTGGGAACAGAATTCAGGATAACATCATAGTTCCTTGTTCTTCCATCTCTGATTCTTTTTCTCAATGTGGGCTTGCCTTATGAGAAAGCTATAAGCTTAGTAAATATCTAGTACATATTCCTAGAATAGAATAATAAATTATAATTTGTCTCCTTTAAACACGCAAATAAAAACACGTGGTTCCTTGACTAAAGTCTTTCCTTTTTGTCATCTTAGGCTTTCTGCAGAGGAAGTAATACAGTGGTCCCAGTCTTTGGAAAAACTGTTGGCCAGCCAAAGTAAGTCTATTACTTCAGTATGACTTCGTTCTTATTCTGAGGACAGAATTTTATCTAATCTCACTAAACAGGCAAAGCTGTAGCATTCTGCAAACACTGCCAGAGAATGGCCAGTTGCATTTCAGTTATTTACAGCTTCAGTATAACACGGCTATTGTATTCAGCTTTGCTTCCAAGTTTGTTTATTTTTTTTTCCTTCTGTTTCCTACTCCCAGTATAGCAAATAAACCCCAAATAGCTCAATTCAGTGCTTTTTGATCAGTCTTCTGTCCTTGCATAACACATCAGTTTAATTTGGAATTCTCTCTCCACTTGTACCCTACTTGTACTCCCATTTAGGGAGGACTAGAATATAGTGATGTATTTTGGTACCCAGGGTCTAGATCTAAAAACACTAAACAAAGACGACTCCCATCACCCTTAATATTAGACTATCTGTAGTATGTTGAAGAAGGGAGGAAAAGTATATTTTGGCAAGATTTTATAACAGAGATTTCAATACAACTCCTGCTATTGATTTTATTCTCCCTGGTCACAAATATCATACTATAAAAGATAATGTATTTGTGTTGGCTTTAGGCGGTCAAGGTGTCTTTCGCGAGTTTCTGAAGTCAGAGTTCAGTGAGGAAAACATCGAGTTCTGGTTGGCTTGTGAGGATTACAAGAAAACCAAGTCTGATCACTTACATGGGAAAGCAGAGAGGATTTATGAGGAGTTTGTTCAGTCAGATGCTATTAAACAGGTATGTACAAAGTTATTCTGTCTATGTTACAGTACAAGCATTCTAGAAAATCAGAAGATAGAAGTGTAGCTTCACTGAGATGCTCATACGTTCATTCAGTTATACAGGAAGGAGACACAGCCGCGTGTTTTTATGAGCGTACTTGCATCATTACTGTCTTCAGCTGTGAGATTATCAGATCTCACAAGTAGAGTCACACAATACAGGCCAGTGCTTGGGAGCACCGCTAGCAGAAGCTCAGCAGAGGCACCAGCAGCTCAGCACATGATGCTGTTCTTTGAGTCAGCCCAGTTTGAATTACTGCTGGTGTTTGGAGTCAGATACTTAGAGAGATCTTTGCTAGTAGGAGAGCCATGGATTATTTCTTGTCTTTTAAAATATGTGAACATTCTGGCCAATTAAATGTTGATCATATTTCAAACTGAAGACTCTCATTCTACACAAGATTTCTCCTATTGCTTTAATTGGAGGTTTAATTGGAGGTTGTTCCTCTACTTATTCCATTAATGAGTTTACTTCTGACTCCCTAAGAAACTGCATTTCTATAGCAAATAGCAGATTTTGTGCATGACTGGGATATAAGCATTAAAATTCCCTCATTTTGCAGTTCTCATATTGAACTATCACACTGAGTTCTAAGGCTACAAATCTGTTTATTGGCAAAACAGTGATAGATATAGAAAGAGAGTACATTTTTAAGATGTCAGTAGCATTTGTTTTTCACTTTCCAGATCAATATTGACTATCAGATGAGGGAAGCAACAGCCAAGAGGGCTCGAGCCCCAACTCACACAAGTTTTGATGAAGCCCAGAAAACCGTGTACATACTCATGGAAAGGGATTCATATCCCAGATTTTTGAAATCCAAAGCCTACCTGAACCTTTTGAACCAGCTGCAAACCAACACTTCAAAATGAAGTGTTTGAGGCAGTGAAGAGCCAAGTAGACTCTGACAAATATCCTGTTGAGAGAAACTTCAGGGTGGTTGGATCTCGGCAAGAAGAACCCCCGCCTTGGGAGGGGGTTTGAGAGAGATGTAAACAGCTCCACAGCCAAAGGAACACAGGATAAAAGCTGGCATGACTGTTACAAGGGTGAGAAGCACAGGGAGAAAATCCTCTCCTCCCATACACCATGGAGTCAAGACAGGATATGGATATTATTTATTGTTTGAACTACACTGTGAACATTGAACCAACTCTTAGGTCCCAAAGAACTGCTGATTATTAGGAAGTACAAGACAGCAAGCTGAGTGTTGGGAAAAGATTATCAAGTTCAGAAGAAAAAATAAGGATGACTGACAATTTTGTGCATAACAAGAAAATGCCCAGACAAGACTGATTAATGGCTTTTTTTACTCTGTGAAGTGTTAATATGCATGAGTGCAGCTCCATGATACTGTTGTGCTATGTAAATATATTATAAATTGATGTGTCTTAAAATGGATGTATTTTAAATTATATAAGAATTACATAAGCTGCATTTTTACTAAGTTTGTACTCAACAGGCAGGTATGTAGCATCTTTTCTGTTTAATTTATTGCAAAATAATAAGCAACTCTTCAATCAAATCTACTTAAAATAAAGTATTATGGTCATTTTACATCTTATTTTAAGTGATCTTTCCATCATAATTACGGAAGTATTGAAAGACATGGTTCCCTTCTGTCCCACTATGCCACTACTTCCCATCTCCTTATCCAAATATTAATTTTCCCCACACCACCTTTTCTCTTTTTTTACCCATTTTATACAACCATTATCTTATTTATCTGGAGTAGATGATCTTGACCTACATAGACCCATCCTCACAACCCCCGTAAAGAAAATGAAACAAAAAGGAAGCAGGTCTAAATTTCCTTCCTATTCTTCATACTTCTCCACCTACCAGCACCCAAATCAAATCTCAAAAATAGAAGCCATTTAATTGCTGAGCCCACAGTTCAATCCGCTTCGATACCGATGATGTGTTGAGCACAGCAGATCACCCACACTTGCTTACGTTGAGAGGCAGCAACTAGTGAGACTCACTAGCAGTCACATTCCTTGTGATATTAGTACTACTCAACCTAAGCTTGGCAAGATCTAGACTCTAATTTAGGATACCAATACTAGCATCAAAGGTCATTCAGTTTCATTGCAAATGTTGCATTAAATTTACTCTGTAAAATATGCAAAGTTATGAGTAGCCTATACCACAGTGGCTAGTGATGAGAACTAAAGTACAAGAAGAAAAGTTGCAATTATGCCTGAACTATGTAACTACAAACATGGGCACTACCAGATCTGAAGTCTTTAATATCTTGTGATGTTAGAGTTCATAACGAAAATAAATCTAAACATGCCCTGGTCTCGATGAGTTACCATCATGAGACGCAGCTATCACACGGGTAGCAATACAAGATTTTATCTCACCCTTACACATTTTCCATTTTCCAAAATAACATGAGCTTAGTCAGGCACAGTCCATTATTCCATACCAAATGGAGAAGCTGTAAAGCCACAGACGTCACCTCATGGGGAGAGCACACTGGGTTCATACTGCCACCCTTTGGGGACCTTGGGACCTCCAAGGGAGGACAAAATCTTCAGCATTACAAGCAAAACTCTGCTGGAAGGAACATACCTAAGTGGCAGTTGCTGCCAACTTCTACCATCACCTAACTGTTATAGCTGGAAGCCTCTACAAATCTCATCTTCCTACTTTCAAGGCCAGTAAACACAGAAAAGAATGTAGTCTTGCAATATTATTTTCCTTTTGTTAAATATGTATACCTGAGGGAGCCTCTGATTGCAAAACCTGATTGCTCCTGAAACAATGTAAACCAGTCTCCAGTTGGCTCTCTCTCACATGAATTAATTTTCCAGTAACAGTAGGAATAAATCAAATTCCTGTGAAGTAGGAATAACAACTATGCCTCCCACACAAGAGGCATCCTCATGTTTGTTCTGACACAGTTAACACGGACCAAGTGTCACTGCATAGCTTCAACCTCACAGAAGACAATGAGAACTATGAAATATCAGCTACCATCTAAAGAGACACTGCCTTCAAGTAACGCTATTCTTTTGACTGTAAATCCCTTAAATTAGTATGTGCCCAGTCTTCATTTACTGCAGTTTCACAATTTTGCCATGTTTTAGCCAAACACATGTATGAAATTTCTGACTAAAATCATATTTCATAGTATGGCTAGTTAGGATTTTTTTTTTTTTAGTGGCTTGTTGCTGCCAGAGAAGACTTTGTCAGAAGCAATTTCATCTACTGTTGGGGAGACTGCCGGGTGGGGTAATGGGTGTATATGTGTTTCCAACTCAACATAGGACTCAGAGATGGGTATAATGAAAAGGAGAAGGCAGACTCTGGAGCCATGCCATGGTTTTGGGTGCTTCAGCAGCCCCTGTTCACTTCAACAGATGGCCAACATTGCTGCCTGTGCCTACTGCCCTGTGACTTTGCATTGCCAGAGCAAATCTTTTCACTAAAGACTGAGTGCAACCGCCACCGCTGCTCAGGTATTCACAGACGCTGCCTGGCACCCTGCACCCTGACCTCCTGCAAAGAGACCGCCCTAACAGGAAAGGGTGAGAAAGTGACACTACAACATGCTGGTTAGAGCCCTCTAAAAATAAGCTAAACCTATCCATAGAAGAGACTAACACAGCTCTCAGGGAGCACACCAGCCACTTGTATTACGCAGAGTTAGTATAGACCAGAATATTTAGGGAGGGAAGATGAAGGGACTTTTCACTCTTTTCCACAAGCATCTCTCCCTGGTTCATGATTTGGTAGTGTGAGAATGGAAAGGTTTGGTTTTTGTTTTGTTTTGGTTTTTTTTTTTTTTTTTTAAAAAGAAACTATTCTTTTCCTTTAAACCCAACCTTGTTTCTTTTTAAAGTTTCAAACTTGGGGTTTTTCCATGATGTCTCTAGTTCAAAATAATTCCAGAGAAATAAGTTGGTGAAGTACTTCACCAACTGAGCCAGTCGAAGTACTGTAAGAGAGACCATCTTTAAAATGAGAGATAACTCCTAAAATATGTTCTCCTCATGACAATATGACCAAAATCTAAACTAATGGTTCTAACAGCTTTAATACTAGACCTGAAATAAAACAAAAAAATGTTTGTACATTTTAAGTCTGCAAAGTTCCACTTGAGGAAGTGAAAAGGTTGGGTTTTTTTTTTTTTTGTTTTTTTTTTTTTTTTTTTTAAAAAGAAACTATTCTGCTCCTTATAACCCAACCTTGGTACATTTCTAAGTCTTTCACCTCATTTGCAGTAAGAACATGGAAACAACTACAAAGGTCAATCATCCAGGTTGTTCATTCCAGAGATATTCCAGCCCACTCCAGTGTCCCTGGCAACATGACCATGTTTCACCAAGCAATAAACAGCGTTAGCAGAAATTCAGAGTGTCTCTGGGATGCTGTCGTAAGCCTAGTATTATAAATCTGTTGCTATAGCAGGGCTATACAAAGCTGGTCGTTTAAATAAGATCCAAGAGATCTGGAAGTATTTTATGGCAATTTATAGTGCCATCCATACTAACCTACTTTACAAAAGGAAGAAGCTATAAGTACTAGTTCAATGATATAACTGAAACAATTTTTACAGTATTTTAAGACACTTAATATTTACATGCTTCAAAATAGTCCAGAGATAGGTATTTTTATTATTTCTTCAAAATCTCTCTTTCAAAATGCAGTATACAATGCTTGTTTTGCAGTGAATTCTTTTTTTGAAATATTGCCTAAATGGACGTTCTTTGGAGTCAGAAAAACAGCAGAACATACAGATCAAAGGGGTTAAGGACTCAGTATTTTCTGTGACCCTTGGTTCATTTACAAGGTGCATGCACCATATCAAGTTCATTTGTGATTTCCTACTCACCTCCTCCTCCCCTCACCCATGTACACAAATAGCCTCAGTGTTGCAGATTGGTTTCACAGCTGTGGGTTGTGCCCTGCCCAGCATGGCAGACTCTTCCAAAACAGGACATGTTACACATCAAATACAGAAAGCATGCCCCTCTGGAAACTTCCTATACTCAAAGGAGAAACTTCTGAATGCAAGGTTTATTTACTATCTTGTAAATAAATTAGTGGGCAATTGGAGGAAACTATCCTTTTTCAACATATGCTAGACTGAGTTAATTATCAGTTAACTGCTAAACCTTTCCAGAACAATCAGGCTCTGACTGTCATCCAACACTTATTAAAATGTTAAATAGGTATGTCAAACAGCTTATTTGATTTTTTTTTTTTAAACTACATTTAGCTTTCCCTTTTTGGAAAAAATATACCATAAGAGAATGGAAATCTGCTGTTCCATTCATGGTCTCTAAGAAAAAATGGTTGAATCGGATTGGCCATTAGCAAGAGATCAGTATAGGAAAACAGGATGCGGCACATAGAGAAGCTTTAAGATTTGACAGCAGTGACTCAGATTTTTCTTTAAGTGTTCTACCCTACTCCTGAAGGAAACATTTTCATTGTTTGTCAGTGTTTCAGTATAAAAATCAATCATTGTACCAGCTTCAAGTACACTTTTGAAGTGAATTAACTTCTCCCTGCTGCACAGGGAAGTTTTCTTTATGGGAGGACTCAAGAGTCCAGCAGAACCTGAATGTGAATGTAGAAGACTAACCTCTCCAGTTTGGAAAACCTTCTCTAAATGTATTCCCTGAAATAGATATTTTTAATATTATCCCAAATAGAAATAAAAATATGGTATAACATAGTATCATTCTCTCCCATATATGGAAAAGGCCATCCATGAAAGCCTGTTAGTAGAGACATTCCATCATTATGCACAGTGAAGCAGGAAGGAAATTAAAGCTAAAGTGGTAATGAATAGTACAAATTCATCACCTTAGACCCCTAAGCACCACCCATCCCTGCCCATACTCTGAAGTAACAGACTTTCCAGATGTCATCTCCTTTATGGTTGTGAAATGAGTTTGAAAAGCAAAAAACAGATGACAATAGGCGGAAAAATTATATGTTCTCATCTTCTATTCAGAGACATGGGTTGATTGTATCAGAGAGCGTAATGTCTATAAATGAAGCTTTTTTAAATTAAGTCTTTAGTCATTAAACACGGGCAGAAATTGCAAAACAAGTTCTTGCTTAATATTCATTGGATGATTTAAATTTGTCTTGGATGCTCAGAA